CTTTACAATGTTATCCAGGCTATGGGAATTTCAGAAATTTTATGCATTATAGGATGGCTTGCAGAATCACTCTCAAAGGTTTTCCATTCTTCGTGTGTCCTTTCATCAATTTGTAAACCATATAAAATAATGAAAAACATTTCTCATAATAAAATAAAAAAATATAATACAGCTCGAATGACATAATATTTATAGAGCGTGCCCTTGATATTAAAAGCTTTTTTGGTTTTTCACTTCATAACTCTTATTTTTAGTTTGAATGGTAAAATAAGGCCCTAGAATTAATTAAAAAGAATTTGTAGGAGCCAAATCAATGGCCTCTTGACTCTCAGCTTATAATGTTCAATGTTTATTTTCTGTTGACAGAATATCTTGTGGCTTGACCTGGGAAGATTTTTAGTTGGATGTGGCATTGGCCTGCTTTCGTATATGGTAAACTAAATTTGTGTTTTTATCTTACTCAGCTGCCTCTTCGGCAGTAATTGGAATACACTTTTACTTATTATATTTATTAAAAAGTTATTATTTTATATTTTAAAATTAAAGGAAAACAAATGTAAAAATATAATTATGCATGTAAAATATAAAAACTAACTAAATCAATTATATTTATATTATATTTTAATAATTAGAACCAAATAAGTGTAAAAAAATATAATAAACTGAGTGTATTTCAATCATTTTCTCTTGGAAAATGATTTTTTCACAAATTGCAGTCCGATTACCATGCAGGTTCCTGTTTATGTTGCTGAAATTACCTCCAAGGATGTTCGGGGCTTGTTTACATCACTTCATCAAATATGCATTCTTCATTGCGAGTTCCGACATCATTTTTTGAATGACCTAACTTATGGTCCATTCTGTAGTAGTTGATGATAAGCATTGGAAGTGCTGTTACATTCATTGTCGGTTCTCTTGTCAGTTGGCGCACCTTGGCTCTAATAGGTTACTTATTTTGCCCTTCCATTATTATGATCAGTAAAATTTAAACTGAGGTCCATAAACAGAGGAAAATTAATTTCTTTTTCAGGAGTTATGCCATGTCTCCTACACCTGATAGGGCTAGCTTTCATTCCAGAGTCTCCTAGATGGTTGGTAAGGACATTTGAACATTCCTTTTCTTTCTTTCTTACTCTTATCTTTTTGGATATTCAAAAACACCACTTAGCCAAGGGCTCGTACGGGTAAAACTAGATGTTGTGTTAAAAGAATGAGTGAGATAAAGTTTTGATTAATTCTTATTAGTTTTTTTAATTTGTGTTTTAAGGGCACATATTAAGATCACTTTTTTGTTATAAATGTGCAGTGTATTGAAAAGTATGTAAAAGTTAATATTAATTTTAGTATCGTTATCAATAAGATAAATTTAATTAGATAGTTGATAAATTAATAATTAACTTTTATTTTTTCAACAAATAGTTAACTTTTATTTTTTCAACGTAAATTTTAACAAAAAAACTATGTATTACACTTTTAACCTTGCCTTAAGGGTACAAGGTAGGAAACTCATTCTTGTTTCCAGATTCAATGAGCCAAAAACTAGTTTCAGACCCCATTTTATGTTTACTTGATAAGGTTAATATTACTGTCTGTAGGCCAAAACCAGTAGAATGGAAGAGTTTGAAGCTACTCTGCAGCAACTAAGGGGCAGACATGCTGATATTTCTCAAGAGGCAGAGGATATCAAAGTAAAGTTTTAAGTTTTCTTATGAATGCACAATCATTTGTTCATAAATTTTTCTTGCATTGGAAACAATAAGGTGAGACGGATTTTTGTTATGTGAACAGGAATACACGGAATATCTTCAGAGCATTTCCAATGATGGAATTCGAAACTTGTTCCAACAGAAATATGTTTATTCAGTCATTGTAAGTCAAAAGAAAGATATTGGAAAATTATTGGTAATCTTTTAGTTTGACATATTTTTCAAAATTTGTTGGGTTCAGTTATTAAAATAGGTTTTTTTTTTTGTTTTTAATTTTAAATTACAAAAAAATAATTTTTTAATAAATAGGTAATACAGTGTGTTAAACCAAAAGATATACCAATTAATATCCAAAGACATTAAATCCTGGCCAGCTTTCCATTATATATACTGTTTATTTGGTCAATCGGCGCCATTGTTATATAGGTTGGCGTTGGGCTGATGGTTTTCCAACAATTTGGAGGAGTCAAAGCTTTTTCCTTTTATGCAACTCTGATTTTTGAATCAGCTGGTAAATTAATTAACTACTGTAATATCCTCATTTAATGAGCTAAAGGTTGACAGAAATGTGGATTGATGG